GGAAAAAGATGTCAGAAGCTTCAGCGAGGGTTTCCATGAGCTTCCATGGCACCATGGATTTCCTCAGCGTTACTTCAAGCTTTGGAATTTGTCACATGATGCGGTCGGCGCTCGTCCAGATAGGCAAGATGCAAGCGGCGCAGTGTGTCGTGCGGCTTTGCAGCGCTGCCAGGTGAGGTTGTGGAGGTGGATGCTGATGGCAGGGAGAATCAGAAGTGACGCGGCCAGGCAGCCAGGAGCCGCTGGGGCTAACCCAGCTGTATTTTTCCGCAGGAGTAGGTTTTCCATATGTGCTCCGGGTCTTTGCGCAGGAAATTGTTCCGAGGCCAGATTCTGGGTCCGCTTTTGTGTGCAAAAGTCACGTCCGCTTGTGCGTGGCCTCCCCGGTAACAGACGACCGCTCCTTGTAGTTGGATTTCGGCCGTGCAGGTACAGATGATCTTCCCCTGTGGGACCGACCCGGAATGGGAAGGATATCCAGCGGTGACGAGTTGCATCTTTCTTGTGCAGGACTGCCCGTAAAGGGCCAAGTTATGCTTGCGAATTAGGAAGCTCTGCTGGACGCAACTTGCAAACACGAAAAGTTACGACTGCGCTTGTTGCTTCGCTTGGCAGACGTATCGCAAAGCTTGCAGATGAGATTTCGACTTGGCTTCAAACTTTCGCCTACGGTTGCGCTTGCTGTACGGGTACCTGACAGGTCTCTTCCGCTTGCCGAGACGATGACAGCGTTGCGGCTAACATGCCCGGAACTTTGCAATCGATGCCTTCAACAACAATTCTATTCTTTGCGTAAACAGCGTAACCACGCTTCTGAGCCCAGAGCTGCTGATGCGCGTGCAAAGTGAAGCAAGAAGCACAGCTGTAAGCTTTTGTATTGCCATGTCCTGGATTCTTCCAGGTTCGTTGCTCGGAAGCTTGACTGACGCGCTGAATCACGATGTCATTCTCCGTTGCCATAAGAGATCTTGACCATCGCGATCAGCGACACCTCGCGGAGATCGTTGCGCCGAATGTTCTGCGCCGACAGCTGACAAACGAATATAAGAAACTTTCGCACGTGGAGGGCCTGCGCGTGATTGAAATTTGTTCCAGCGGCAGGGCCCAGACTGCGCAGACTGCGCGTGACGGCACCGTTGACGCGCGCCTTCGTCCCCCACGCAAGCTTCAAGAAGGAGACTTCGCGGTGATGGTAAACGGGCGGTCATCAAGGTCAGAGATTTTGGAGGAACTCCGAAGCGGCCGCCTGGTGACTGCGATTGTCTGGCGCTTCCCTCAACCCTTACAACTTGAACAACCCCGTGGATGGGAACGATGTCAGGTGCAGAAAGAGGCTGCCCATGACAAGGGTTCAGAGTCGCGCGCGGCGCCATGAAGAGCTCCACGGATGCCAGCGTTCGTCTGGGCAGAAACCTGAAGCTTCCATGCTGCCGCTGGTTTATGTTGGACTTGTGGACAGCGCGCGCAACTCAGATTGAGAAGCAAAAGGTTGTGTTCTGCCAGCAAGACTTGTGTGGCTTGCGTAGCACCGCTTTACTGACATGACATTGCCTTGCATCACTTCTGATTTCAAGCTGGCACGCTTTCACCATGCATTCTTGTTTATAAGCCTACCTGCGAGGTGGAACCCTGTTACGACGCGGACACGTCTGGTCGGCTCGGGCAGAGTCGCTGCCTCATCTCTTACGGATGTTCAGAAAGCTGGGCACTTGGCGATGCTCTGCTGAAGAGTACTGAGAGTGTCTTGGGGGGTTGCATTGCTTACGCTTGGCTTCGATAGCATAGCTTGACTTTACGAAGCCAGGTTTGCCAAATTTCTTTATTGGCTGTGCCTAAGAATGTTGCTGTGTTTAAGGGTTTTGGGCTGCTGTTTAAGGAAATATTGTTGCCGAACAGGCGACATGCGATTTTGGCTGGAAATGATGGATGATCTGCAAAACAAATGAGCTGCAAAGCTGTTGGGATACCCCGTGCTGGGCCAACGGGGGTGTGTGCTGTGCCTGGGCGGTTGAGTGGTTGTTGGAACAAATTGCCACCGAAATAGCAAAGTGTGAAGTTGGTACGATCTGCAGGTTGGCCGGCTGAAAGTTCGCCACCGAGTTCAGATGTGTGGCTGGGCTGTGGGGAGTGGTGGTACGATACCGAAAATGCATCCTGGGTTGTCTCCCCAGTGGCGGAATTTGTGTCGTTGACTTAGCGTGGTGAAGGAAACATAAATTTGTTGGGGATTAGGTTTCGGGGCTGGGCTTGCTTAGGCCACCAAATCTAAGGGGTCCCGAGTCCCGAGCTGGGTCTTGCGGTTCTGAGCAGAAACACTATGTCAAAGACTATCCCTGAAAGCATAGCCCCTCGCAGCAGCCGAACATTTTTTGCTTGTCCCACACGGAGGATGTGAAAGATAGACGTGGCTTGTGCCGCACGGGTAATGTGAAAGGTTAATTCTGAAAACTTAGCCCTGCGCAGCGGCCGACCGAAAAGCGCTTCTCACGGAGGATTTTCCGGCAGGTTTTGCGAAAATCCGCTATCTCAGTTGGCCAACCGATGCTTAGGAAGTTTTCTGGTCCCGAACTTAGCCCCGCGCAGCGGCCGAAAATTTTTATTGCTTCGCACAGAGAATTTCCTGGCTCTTTTACGAACCTCAGTTGGCCAGCCGATGTTCAGGAGATTTTCCGGTAACTTAGCCCTGCGCAATGGACGAAGTTTTTTCGGTCCGGGTCCGGATTTAAATCCTTAACCTTGGTTGGCCAGTTGACATTAAGGTTTTAATATCGGAGCCGAATTTTCTGGCCAAAAACCTTAAACTCGGCCAACTGGGGGTAAGAAAATTTTTAGGTATCGGAGCCGAATTTTCTGGACGAAAATTGGCTAAGAACCTTTAACTCAGCAAATTTTCTTAACCTCAGTTGGCCGGCTGAGGTTAAGGAGGTTTTTAGTATCGAAGGAGGTTTTTAGTATCGGATCCGAATTTCTGTGCAAAAACTGGCCCAACACCTTAAACTCAGCAAAATTTCCTTAACCTCAGTTGGCCAACTGAGGTTAAGGATTTGGCCCGGGGGGTCGGTGTGTAAAATATGTTTTTTCCTTAACCCTGGCCAGGAAAAAACCGGTTTTATACACCGTCTTCAAAGCCAGCCGTGACGGTGTATAAAACCGGTTTTTTCCTGGCCAGGGTTAAGGAAAAAACATATTTTACACACCGTCCCGCCGGGCCAAATCCTTAACCTCAGTTGGCCAACTGAGGTTAAGGAAATTTTGCTGAGTTGAAGGTGTTGGGCCAGTTTTTGCACAGAAATTCGGATCTTATACCTTTCGGCCAGAAATTCGCGCCCGGGACCGGAAAAATTCCTTAACCTCTGCTGGCCAACTGAGGTTAAGGATTTTTCGCCAATATCCGGACCGGGACTCCGGGGCCGGAAAATCTCCTGAACATCGGCTGGCCAACTGAGGTGAAGGCTTTTTTGCAAAACTGCCGGGTAATCCTCGTGTCTGAGAAGCGAATATTTTTTCGGCCGCTGCGCGGGGCTAAGTTTTCAGGGTTAACCTTTCACATTGTCCGTGCGGTGCAAGCCCCGTCTATCTTTCGCATCCTCCGTGTGGGGCAATCAAGTTTTTCGAAATCCTTAACCTCAGTGGGCCAACTAAGAGATTAAGCATTTTCGGGAAAGAATCCGGAGCTGTGGGCGGGCAAGTTCCTAGACCTCAGTTGGCTAAGTGAGGTTCCCCGAAGATTCCTTAAGCTCAGTTGGCCAACGGAGGTTACAGGTTTTTTTTTTCAGGGAAGAATCCGGAGTCAGAGCCAGGAAATTTCCTAAACCTCAGTTGGCCAACTTAGGCTAAGGATTTTCGGGAGAAAATCCGGAGCCGGGGCCGGCAAATTTCCTTGATTAACCTCAGGTGGCCAACTGAGGTTCAGGATTTTCAGGGAAAACATTCCGGAGTCGGTCCGGGAAATCTTCCGGGTTGAAGAAGCCAAATTATTTTTCGGCCGCTGCGCGGGCCTAAGATTTTGTTTCTTTTACATCTGTGCAGAAAGAAAGCAAAGGTCAGGCCACCAGGCTCCAAAAGCAGATCGCGATAGTTCCCAGTAGCTATATGAAATCCTTAACCTCATTGCCACATGAGGTTAAGGATTTCGCAGAATAGTTGGAAACCGGGGCCGAAGGACTTTGCAGACAAAAATTAGGAGCAGACAATCCTAGACGCCCTCATCATTTTGAGCCGCACAGGCTGTTATGGTTGGGAAGGGGCGTGTGATTGTGGAATATGGACATCGAAACAGGCGCCAGTGCTGCAGAGGAGCACCCTGCGCGAGGGAAAAAAGTGGAGCCCCGCAGGGGCGTGTGGTGGTGGCATTTCTCTTTGGCAAAGCCTGCATTTTGGAGCATGAACAACATGTGGGGGCACCAAAATCCTGAAAACACAGAAGGTTGAGGGGTTTAATGCTTTCAGCATGACGCCTGGCCCCAACATGTATGCTTTGCCAAAATTGTGCAACCAGTTTTCCTGGTTTGAAAACAACAGCTTTGCATTTTGGACCATGAACGCATGGTGGGGCAGCTCCAAAGCCCTTAAACACAAGACGGTTCTGAGGTTACAGCAAAAACCCATGAATAAAGAAATTTGACAGCCAGGTTAGATTCCTCTTCGCTTTGGCAGGTCGCCCACGCGAGCACGGGTCTAGGACGTCCTGAAACAGAAACAACAGCGCGCGCAGTCAAAACTGAAAATTACCTACGGGCGGCCTGTGTTGGGGTTGACATTACTACCTAGACGATTGTCCTGTGCAAGGCCTGGCCGCAGCAGAATCTACCTGTCGCACAACGCCCGCTGCCTGTCGAGGGACCAGCGACCGGGTGTCTCGGATCCAGCTGCTGCTGCAAGCTTCAGAGCTGGCCAAGCTCCGGTTCCCACCGCCACGGTCAAGGGACCAATGACCAGGCACCTTGTCCACTGGCATCCGAGCTGCAATAAGAAAATCGCGAATGCTGTGTGTGCTGCACATGCAGGCACCGGTACACAAGAAGGCTCCGCCACCGGCGGCGCCGGTAAAGCTCCGCCGCTTCAGCTTCAGGAAGCTCCTCCGGATTACCGAAGAATGGCCGGTCGAGATGGACTTCGTGCTGGCTTCCCTTTTCCTCTTCCCTATCTGTAGGCTGCTGCTGGCTTGCTCCTCAGTTTCCGACTGCTGTCCTGGTTTCCCCGGAATCAGCCAGCGCACACATACAGAACCAATACAGCAGGCTTCAATTAAATGAACTGCACGGAATCCAGTTCGGGGCCTCCCACTTAAGCTGCTGCTGAATCTTGCGTGCTTCCTCTTCAGGGTTTTGGGGATCTGTCTTCTCGGGGCTAAGGCCTCTCCCCAAGCTTTCAGGCCATCAACAGTGCATGACTTGCCAATAAGCTTTTAAAAGGTAAGACCCACTAATTAGGTCCCAGGAACTCTAAGGATTTAATAGTCGGTTTAGAAAAGAGCTCTGGAGCAATGCATGTTTGGTTCCTTAGGTTGTTGCTGTCGCTTAGGGCTTGAGGTTTAGGATAAGGGATGATAGTGCTCCAGAGCTCGATCAACGCAAACGCTCAAGCCTAGCCTAACCACCCGGTGCCTGCCCCAGGTCATCTTCGCCATCTGTGCACCGAAGCTACGACGCGCTGTGCAACCCGTACTGGGAAGTCGGCGCAAAGAGAAACGTGCGTGCGACTTCGCGGAAAAGCTTGCGACTCTGCTTGTTGCTGGACTATGCATGCACATCGTGCACTTTGCAGATGAGACTCAGACTCGGCTTCACGTGTATGCTGTCTATGTGAGCAGTGCTTCCGATCTCAGGAGTTCAAAGAAATGCTCTGGTGAAGAGGGTCCGATCCACGTCGAGGGCCTCCAGACCTTCACGAAGCTCTCGGCCGTGCACCATGCACCACACACCATGCACACATCACACATCACACACACACATCACGGACTATGCGCCACGCACCACACATCACGCGCACACTACGTTCACTCACGCACCTGACATCACATGAACGCTTTCACGAGCTCGTCTCCACTTCACTTACGCACTCACTCACGGCCACGCACTCACTCGTTCGCTCTCTCACTCTTTTATCCTCTATCACTTCTCTACTCTTTATGAATGGAAAACTTTGCATGTGGGGTTATCCGGTCCTTTAATCTAGTTGATTGGTTGTGTGCTGCATGCTTCGCCAAATCTAGGTGCTGTATTCTGGACGTCTTTGAACGGCCGACTCGGCTTCTGAATGCACTACCAGTGCCAAAATTTTGCTGCGGCTACCAGCCAAAAGCTAACACTGCGACACGCAGGTTAATTCGCTCACTTGCAAGACGCAATGCGAAACTGCACTACTAGTGCCTAAACCTCTGTGGCTACCAGCCAAAGCATCTCTTGTTACTCGCAGGGTGGCAATGCTCACACTCAGCACGGTTCAGTGAGCAAACCCTGTGCAAAGGAAAGGCTACCAGCCTAAAACTACACGAGCTGGACTCAACGCTTCTGTGACACACAGAGCTTCAAGGACTCTTGAGGACATTTACTGCGACACGCAGGCTTCAAATGTGTGTAAGTTTACGGAAACCAACGTACAAACCTACGAGGCTTGAAACTGGGGTTCCACCAGGACCCACTGATTTGTATTGGGTTTGGGAAGTAATTAACTGAAAAGCCCCCAGCCTGTATCTCTCCAGATTTTCCACAAGGCGCGGCAGGTGTTCGGGCGTTCGCAACACCACACTGTGGCGGAACTACGTGGAACTATTTGAAAACCTTTACTCAAGGCTAGTGGAAGGAACCTTCACTGAAGGCTCACGGCTGCGACCGGCCCCGAGGGCGGGACCCAAACTTTGCCGGAGCGTGCCGCACGTAACTTCGGCAGCACCTTCTGCAAAATTCCATGTTTGGGCACTGCCTGCTGCATGCCCGGTGCTTTTGCTCATCGTCACGGACGCCGAACCACCCGCAGTCCCGGCATGTAAAGGGAACGTCCCTTAAGATGTTGAGGTGAGACCGACGCTGCAAACAACACATGATGATTTGGGGGGCAGGGAGACCGCAGGTGCACGGTTCGCATTTGGCGGCAGTGGCGGAGGGGTGAGCTGCTGCCACTGGCCGATCCCAGGACACTGACCCGATGAGGTTGCCGTTCACTGGGACACTGCCCCCTTGTTGGAATGGACTGTGGGCGAGGTTGCGGGGGCACTGCCCTTGGCCGTCGGGGGTGGCGGAGACTTAGACTTAGGCTTTGCTTTGGTGGCCACGTCACCCTCAGCCACAAAACGTCGTGAACGATGCCTGTGCACAATGGCGCTGGCTTGGGGTGAACCGGGTCCACTGGACCGGATGGAGCCGGGACTTCGGCTGGCGACGTGGGCGCTTCAGACGTGCGAGTGTAGGTGTAGGTGGAGCCCTCCTCAGGTCCTACGCTTGACTGAGCCGCATCAACCGGCATTGCCGGTTCTACATCCATGGGCTCGACTGGAGCCGCTGGGACTGCTTGCTCCGTTTCGGAGTTGTTTTGCACAACCTTTGCAGGCTCAGGTTCAGTTTCGACCGTGTCTGGCACAGGGGCTGTCGGTGCACCGGCCGACTCGGCCGCGGACAAAGGCGGGATGTACCCTTTCAAAATTGCGCGGAACGCCAAAACGTCCCCTGAGGTAATGGTACCCGCACTACGGGTCCAACCCGCGCGGAGTGCTGCCTGCTGGGCCTTTTGCAATTTCTGCTGTAATTGCAGAGTCGCAAAGACGCTGCAACAACTGCGGGAGCGCTCCGACACGCACGATCCCCGCAGAGGGCTTTCGCTCAACCCAGGCCCGTCCGCGTGCGCCAACGAACATGCACCTCAGTGTTTTTAACGGATGAGGCAACAACGATTGAGCTGTTGGGGCATGCTGCACTCATGTTGCAGAGAGACTGGTAAGGGCGAAAGTCCCACCCGACGTTCCCGACGTGTTGCGGGCGAAGCCCTCGAGCGTGCTCGCGAGGGAGATGTGGTCGTAGGCCTCGATGCTCAGGGTCGGCTTCGGTCGATGAAACGTCGCCCATGACCAGCGCTCTGACGACGCCTGGGACACTAGGCGGTGGGCGGACCTCGCAGCATTTGTCATGTGCCGCCAGCCATTATCGCAGCGCAAAATCATGAGGATGTGTCATCCCTTTCGTATGCACCTTCTTTACCGGACCCCTCCAGTGACGCTGATCCCCAAGGAGATGCCGTCGAAGAAATTGACCTCGATGAGCCTCGTGAGTCGCCTCAAGCACGCACGCTCCCGGTCCCCGACACGCCGACGCTTGAGCAGCGTGCGTTGCACAACCCCACACACGCACCGTATGCACCTTGGTGCCATCATTATGTCAGTGGGAAGGCTCCTGAGTCCGGTCACCGCCGCCAAAACAAGCATGAGGACAAAGAAGTGCCCATCTTGCAATTCGATTATCAATTCTTCGGCCGTGATGGCCAACTCGTCGAAGAAGAAAGTCGCGCAGCGACAGCACTGTGTGGCACGGACACGTCTTCTGGATGGCCATTCATGGTGTTCGTCCCACAGAAGGGATCAAATGCCTACGTGGTCAGAGATGTGGTGTCGTGGATCAAACGGTTGGGGTATGCCAAAGTTGTGTTTCAGCACGACCAAGAGTCGGCCTTGCGAAGCGTGGCAAAGCAAGTTCAACACGAATTAGGACATGACCATGTACACATCCGTGCGTCTCCACGTTACAGCCATGCCAGCCAAGGCGGAGTGGAAAACTGTAACCGCATACTGGCTGGAATGCTTCGCACGTGGTTGTCAGCATTGAACGAGGCCTATCCGCAGACGCGTGAGCCACTGGACATTAACCATGCCGTGGTTCCTTGGCTCTGCCGCTGGTGTGCTTTCGTGTGGGCACGATACCATGTGCAAGCGGATAAAATGACGCCATTCCGCATTGTCTCTGGGCGGGAGTACACAACTCCAATCGTGCAATTTGGGGAGGTTGTTTTAGCCAAAGACCCAAACACAAAAGCCCTGAATAAGGCGAAACCGAGGTGGTTTAAGGGGGTATTTGTAGGTCGTCTAGAGCTTGATGATTCAGCCGTGCTGTTAACCGATGCTGGAGCAATCGCAGTTCGGACTGTCAGGCGCCTACCCTTCGAAGATCAACACGATCGGACGTACCTTGATGCCGCATGTGGATTGCCTTGGTCGCCCAACGGCAAACGCACGAAGGTCCAAGCAGAGGCGAGCAAAGTCGTCGCTGTGCCAGCCCCTGCTGCTGAACCCGTTTCTGTGCCGCCGAGCCAACCGGCAGCGTCACGTCCAAATCAGGTTGAATCTGAAACTGCCCTGCTCCGTCCTCCGGCAATGCCTGATGTTGTGGTATCCGACACAGGGATTCCTGCAAGTGCCCGTGACAGCCCGGTCCCAGGCCCTCCTCTATCAGAAGCACAAGGCATGACCCCAGACAGCTCGCATCGCATGACCATGACTCCGCCAACACCCCCATCACCGTTTGCGCACGATGTTCCATCAACAGTGGCACGTGACGTCCCGAGGCCAAACTCCCCTTTTCGGGGATCGGGTTCTTTTCACGTCGAGCGTGAACTCGCCACACCGACAGGCGTCAATGCAGTGCCACGGCCAAATCCTGCTGCCGGTGTGGACAAGCGTTCTCTTCCAGAGCCATCGGAACCCACAACTGCTGCCGCAGAATCAATGCCGAAGGTTCCCAAGGTTGGAACCATTAGTAGTGTTTTGCAGCAGATCCAGGAGTGGGCGCGCGATGGCCAGTGGGAGCAAAAAGTATCATCCGTCCTTGATTTGCTTGACACGCAGCTTGACCCGCGTGAAGTTGAGAAAGCAAGGAATGCCCAAATGGCAACACTTGTTGAAAAGGGTTTTGCCATCCCGAGGTTGAATTCAAACATGCCCCGCAAATCCAAGTTGTTCAACTACAAATGGGTGGATGAGATCAAGCGTGGAGTTTATCGTTCGCGGTTTACTTGTGCTGATGTCAAAAAGAAGTACTCCAAACAAGAACTGGAGGAGGAAACAAACACGTTTGCACCAACACCGTACGAAGAATCCCATATTCTTCTTGAGCTCAAGTGCCTCAAAAACGGCTGGCACATGATGTGAGATTCGCATACTTGGTAGGTGCTGATTCAGGTGACAGTAGTGGCAAACCTGTTTTCATGTGCGTGCCTCCTGAGCACATTCCGCATCTCCACGCATGGCTCAGCGAACAAGACTATGAAACCCGAGCGCAGTTCAAGTCTGCAGACTCTGAACGGGATGTGGTTTTAGAGCTTGTGGGGAATTTGTACGGCAGGCGACCTGCCGGGAGTAATTACCGGAAGGAATTTGAACAAGTGGTGACTCAGGGTTTGCTTAGCAAAGGCTATCAGTTCGTTCGCGGGGCCCGCGACCCAACAGTGTACACTTGTATCAACACAGATGCCACATTGTTGCACCATGTCGATGACACCCGCCTAGGAGCATCGCTCGCCGGGCAACGTGCGTCGGACGTTCTGGCGGCCACGCGAGCGGCAGCGCGTGCGGCGTGGGTCGCCCGTTGGTCGGGGCTGCTCGCCGTCGCCGCCCAGCGCGCCATCGCCGCGTCCTTGTTGGAACTCCCGCTCGCGGGAAAGTGCAACGTCGCCGGAGAGGCGCCGGAGCTGCACGAAGTGCTTGCAGACGTGCGCTGGCAGCTCCCGGTCATGGGCAGCCGCCAGGGGCCTCACTAGTGTCCCCGGCAGGAGCGCCTCCGTACTCCGTAGGACCAGGTAGGCACTGACGGCCGGGACTCTGGATTGCCGGTAAAAAGGTCCGCGGAAAAAAAAGGAGCATCTGACGTGGACTTGGAGTTCCTGCAGTCAAACGAGGGTTTGGGCAAGTATTTGGACATGAAGAATGGTAGCATCGAGAAACCCGGCACCAAAGTGAATGTGTTAGGCCGTACAAAGTTGCGAACCCAAGACGCCTTTTTCACGCTTCCTGATGACAAGCATCGCGAGAACGTGCTCACGTTGCTTGACCTCTGGCATGCAAAGCCATCGAGAGTCGCAGGCCAACGGATCCCCCGCACTGAGAGTAACATACAACCCGTGGACGAGCATCGCGCCGAAGTTTACGCCAAGTGCGTCGGTTCGTTGATTTACTTAAGCATCGACCGCAGAGACATACGCTACGAAGCCAAAGAACTCGCTCGGCACATGCGTGGATTGGTCTAACTTGGTTGTCCTTGCACGTTACTTGTTGTACAAACCAGACTTAGCTCGAGTCACTGTTCTCAACGCCGAAAGCAAAACGTCCAGAGTTCTCACGCTTGACGGGTACACAGATTCGGATTGGGGCAGGTGCCTTGATAGTCGTCGCTCCACAGATTGTACAATCATCAATGTCGGTGGTACAATTGTCATTGCCCATGCGCAAACACAGCCTGGCACCCCGGCCGCATCATCCGGCGAAGCTGAAACCCGCGCGTTGAGCCGAGGGGCGCGAGACGCCATGTTCTTTAAGCAACTTGCGGAGGAGGATTTCGGGTTGAAACTTGGCACGGCCCGGTTATGGACAGATGCCACCACCGCACTGCAAACAGCCTCACGGGCGCGGGCGGTGCCGCTTCGTGGTCTTCGGGCTCGAGTTCTGAGGGCGGTTTGGCGGGCCTGCTCTCGGTTTTCTCCGATTCAGGCTTTTCGGGATCCAGTGCGCAGACCGCCAGTCGCACAGGTAGACCGCTCGCCAACCTCCGACGTGCCAGACGGGGGGCAGCAGCCGGGCCTTCGTTGCACTAATGAGCGCGTCCTGCTGGACGAAAAGCTGATCTCGCAGCTGAACGAACTCATGAGTGCAATCATTGCGGCAAAAGCTTCCATGGAGCCGCTGCCTTAGCAGGACATCTCCGCAAAACTCATGGCATACAGGCACCCCTCAGTGCCGTGGCCAACGGAAGCGTGTGCAATGTTTGCATGATTGATCACAGGACTTCCAAGAGACTGTTGACGCACCTACGTAACGTGACCGCCTGTCGCCAAGCATACCTTGCAGCAGACATAGAAGAACCCAGCATCATCGTCAAAGGCGATGCGAAAGCTTTCTTAGCTCCTCTTAAAGTGCTTGGTCCTAAGCCCTGGTGGGCCACTCTGGCTCCGCAGGAAAACCCTGCACCATCTCACGAAAGTCCTGACTTGACTACTGCCATCCTTGCACTTGTCATGAAATGCCATCCGCTGGAGGTTGGGAGGGCTTTGGCTAAGCAGGCTCAAGAACTGTTCAGGGGGATCCTCGCCTTGGGCATGTCTTTCGAGGAATATGCGCTCACCCTCGAAACCTTGCCCTTATCCACTCCGGGCCTGAGCCGTGCAAATGACCTAGCAGACGTTTTCCAGCGGATGCTAACTTGTCACACCGGTGCTTATAAGGGCACCCAGTTTCAGGTGTTTTGGAAGGGAACCAGGGCTTTGATCGCACACGGCAATTTGCCTCACGCAGAGCACCTCAAAGTCTTGCTGGAGGCAGACTAGAGTTGGCTCTTGCCTTATGCATGTAGAATTCAACACGCGTCACATGACTCATGCTTCGAACCAAGCAACCAAGCAAGCAGCTTTTGTCGTGCGATGCCGAGAGGCTCGCGCGGGCGGAAGTGCCGGCAGCCGTAGCGGATGCCCTCCGTTTGGGTCGTATGGTGGCGCTGTCAAAACCGGGTGGGGGCGTGCGCGCACTCGTCATGGGGATGTTTTCCGCAGATTGGTGGCGCGGAAGCTCGCGCAAAATTTGGTGACGGAGGCCTGGGCGCCTTTCCAATACCCTGGGCACGCGGTCAGGCCCGGAAGCCGGCCTTCTGCGCAGCGCTGTTTTACGGGCAAGCCAGTCGCTACCTGTACTACGACCACCGCGGCCAAGCGCACGTGGTGATGCAGGGTGAGGGCGGGGAGCAAGGAGACCCGCTAATGCTGGATTTCTATGACCAGCCTGCTCTCCCTGCCACTCGCCGGTGCAGCCAATTTCGACGGAGATCCGCCTCTCCTCGGCGACCTCCTCGCCCGTTTCTATCTGGCCGTGTTATTGGCAACTCCGAATCTTGTCACAGCCCTCTGTAGAAACAAGAGCGGCCGTTCCCATGCTTAACGGTATTACATGGTGCTCAGTGCCTGCGTTTGCAATCAGTGACAGCTCTGATTTACTAAAGGTCCATGAATATGGCCTAAAATGGTGTTTTTGTTGCGGGACTGTTCGCAGCTCGAAGCGCCAAGCCCGCAGCCTGACATCGGGCCGAAGTCTTGCAAAAGGCATCTTCGCACGCATGGAAACACTTGACAGAAAGTGTTAAGCAAGAAGGTGGGTGGGCACACTTGATGGTTCTCGGCCCATGGCTCTGTGATCCCTTCGGCAATATTCGGCGATTTGAGATGTGTGTGCTCCATGGTTCGAGCGCCTCAGCTGCAGTAGGGGTTTGGTTGCAAGCTGCGTGAAAAGTTTGGTTTACAATTGCTGATAATTGCTGTATTTTGAGTGCTGGCTTCTGTTGTTTACATGTGCCCCCTCAGGTGAGGGGCCGCGCACCGCGCAAACGAGTCGTTCGGAAAGCGGTCGACGTTCAAGGCGAAAGAGAGGCCGGCAGACCAACATCAACACATCAGAGCATTTTTGACTGCCTAAAACCGTGCGATTGGCATGTCTCGTTCCAGCACTTTGGAGGCTTTGCAGCTAGGCCTCTACCTTTCCTGGCTTCGCAATGAGTTGGACAGTGAGGCGGCATGCCTCGCTTCTTGGAAAAAACTGTCGTGCTGGTGTGTTGTAGATCGGGGTGCAATGTGCAACCGAGGAAATGCCGTGGACCATGCTTTTGCTGCTAACTTTTGCAGTGCCTACCTCAACACGATACTAGTGGCACGTGTCGCAAACCAACTAGAATGAGTCGACTGCTTTTGCATATTCTGACAACAGCGAAGGTGACCGTTTACATGCACACTAGACCTGACTTCGTTGTGGTGGTCGAGGGGGCCTGGAAATCTGCTACTTCGATGCATGTAATGGAATGCGGTCGCATATTTACTATGCACGCTGCGCACGCTGAGGGCATTTTGAACGTAAGCTCAGGCCATCGAGGAAGGTGCCACTTTTGCTTGGTCGGAGAATTTTGGTCACAAGAATGTTTTTACCTCAGCTTGAACATTCGGTTTGTGCAGCTGTCGGCATTTGTCGACGTGTTCGATGGTTACAGCAGGTGACATGCTGAAGTGCTGTATAGTGCCGTTGGAGCGCTTGAATTCCCAACGTCCTGTGAAGGTTTATGATGTCAATTCCCTCGCAGATTTCTGGTCCTGGCTTCGTTTGGGATTCTTGCCGCTGTTGGTACAGCACTCCTGGGCCTGGTCTGAAGGCTGGGGAGAAACTCGCACGTCGATGGAAATGGGCTTGCAAGATTCGGCTAGGCTTGGATGCCCCCTATGCTGACATGGCGGCTAATCTGAGCATGAACTTCTCCACTGGCGACCTGCCAGATCGATTGGCTTGCGCCTTAAGGAATTGATCCGAACCTAACATCTCCGCTTCCTTGTGCGTGGCCCAGGACCTCGCCTATGGCGTCTTGGTGTGGTCGCATTTGGGATTGGGATGACTGCAAGCGAATAGCACGAACTGAGGCCTCTTTGCTGATGAGCCCTGGGACAGTGCCCAGCTGCCCGTGCGGGGTGCGCCTTGGCAGCCTTGACATTTGCAGAGTCCTCCCCACGTGTTTGAGCACGCGGCTGGGGAATCGTTCGGGCCTTCGTCGTTTTTTCCAATGAGGACGTGCTAAGCTACAACAAGATCGTGGCCGGCATCCGGCTGCAGCAAGAGAGAGCCGTGGGAAGTTGGGAGGCCAGTTGCCGTAGAACTGCACTAGCGGCTAGTGTGGGCATTGCGGCGAGTTTGAGGAGGAGCAGTGCCTCCAAGATGGTTCTAGTCACCTAGTCCGCCCCTTCCGTTCTTTATTTGACGGTCAATCTAGAAGTTCTCCTTGATCTTTCAATCCACCATTTGCAGGGCAACTGAAGGTAAAATCCAAGGGCGGAAGAAGGAATTGGAACAACCAGCCTCCATTGGCAGGCGTGCCAAATTCCAGCCAGTGGCCTTGACATGCAGTGGCGGGTTTCGCATGCGCATGATGCGCATCTTGCGGATATGCAAGGCATGCTCGGCTGTGGCGATGGTGTTGTAGTCGTATCCCAGGCATGCCGGAGGAGCTGTGGAAAGATTGGTTGGGCAAGCCTTGCATGGTTTCAGAGCCATCTTACTTCCTCACGCCCGAAGTGCCTCGATTCCACAAATCAGCCAAGTCACAGGTGGTTGTTGTTCGTCTTGTCAAGTTTCGGACAGCTGCTGTGTAGGGCGCCGCCACCTGAATGGAGGTGCGGCACTCTGAAACATTTCACGGGGAGCCCATGCGCGTGGAGTGGTTACTGACCGCGAAACAAACGTTGCAAGAGCTTCAAATGATGACATTGGACATGGAGGACAAAGAGTCAGCACCAGATTTTGGCATCGCTCGAGGTTCAATCGCCTTTCAACCTCAGGACGGCTGCTCTGATTTGTCTGGCAAGTCTTCAAAGCCAGGTCGACCAGAGGCCTTCTGTTGGGATGGCAGAATTCCTGGCAGAAGAGACGAGCTTTGGCTTGCGGTGGCATGCCAGGTTCCTGATGAGTGCTGGTGCCAAAGCTGCGACTCGGCATTGATTGAAGCGTCGAAGGCTTGTTTTTGGACTTAGCTCTCTTTCGCAAACCTTGGCTTGCAAGACTGAAGTTGCTCAGAAGTCGTCACAGGTCAGGAAGGCGCGCAAGACCCGCAAGACTCTGCAGGCCTGTCATGAGCAATCGCCACGGAAGGCGCAACCCCTACACACAACACACTGAGGCTTCATACCTGGACCATGGCTGGATGTTGCTCGCCAGCATGAAAGATCTGAAAGTCTTTTCTTGTACCCGCTGGGACCAGGTGCACGTGTTTTTCCATTTTTCCATGTCAGATGCTTATCCGTGTATTGCATCAGACACTGCGAGACTCCAGGAATACACCCGACGAGTTGAAGTGAGTACGGTGGCTTACAATCAAAACTATGGCCTTCTCTCCTTTGTGTCCGTCAATTTCTTCATCAATAAAGGAGGACAAGTGCATAAACTTTTGATGCTCAGCTGCATGCTCCATCACGTCATTGCTGGTGCCTGGCGCTCGTTCCCTCGACTTAGATGACGCTGAGGGATGTGCAATCGGCCCGCATTGATCCCTACGTTGGCTACCTTCTCTCAGTGTTTATCATGTTCTTGTGCTGCTCGCTTGCAGGAGCTAATGTTTTTTCAGTGAATTCCTAGACACACTCACCTCCAAATGTACCACAGAGAGAGACCACAAATGCAGGTGACATCCTTTGGTTGATTGGATTGCTGAAGCTTCTTCTGTATGAGGCACAGGCTTTCAGCGAACCTAGGGCCGGCAGATGCTGAAAGAAGCTCCCTGCCACACTTCCTATGGTTTGCAGATATTTACATGTGCGCATTCTCTTCGGCTTTATATGGGCAGGTGCAGGACATCGTCAACACCATCACGGGGTCACAGCAGGTCTGGTGGAGAGCCCTCCTTTTTGAGTACCTGGTGGCTTCGGCTCAATTCGGCTCATGTGCGCTCCTGTGGACTCATGTGGACTCTGACATGATAAGTCCTGAGTTTGCTCGTGCTGTTGCTTGCGCTGTTTTGCTGAGGCTTTCTGGAATGTTGTGGACTGGTTGTCCTTGGCCTGTGCGTGGGCGGTGCTGGGGACGTACGTCCGTGCTGGCATGGAAGCTCCGTGGTTTTTGTTGCTGGGTGATGGGGATGTGTTGTGTGCATGTGATGATCGCGATTTCATGAATTGAGGTTTCAGCTGCATCCACACAGCTCGAGAACGTCCTGCAGCCAGATGTCAGTAACCTTACCAGAGCAGAGCTTTGGGCCCGGAGCGACCTTGTCTTTCAGGCCACCGTAACTTGGCCGGAGTTCGGCGCGAACCCCCAAGGTCAACAGTCATCTTGTGGAAACACCGATGGCTCTGTCCAGCACCCTGAAGTATTGGACAATCGGGACAATTGCTGAGGAAAGCCTGGTGTCTGCTGAAGCTGACTTCCGCACAACGCTGCGCCTGGGGCAACCAGTTGTTGAACCGGTTGGCGGTGTTGTGGTTGAGGCTTAGCATAGCTCGCTTGGGGGTTCAGTGTGGGAGCGTGGTCTTGTCTCAACATGGCAGCACAGAGAAGCACGAGTCCTGATGGCAGAGCTCCAGCAGCTGTAATGCAGTTTGCTTCTGTGCGACCTCCGCAGCAAGCAAGGCTCCTGTTCCCGTTGCTGGCAGTGGCCTTAGAGGGTCCATATCCAGACAGATATTGATGATATATGTAAAGAGATCTGTCGTAGCATGAAAAGAAGCATCATGTAGCATCATGTAGCATGGGGGGCTTATAGCTAGAGAGGTTGCTGAGGATGTTTTGCAGTCCGACCCAGCCCAGGTCATGCTGCGTTTGTTCAAGTCCTTCCATGCCCAGCCACGCCTTGCCACTCCGCCTTTTACCAGCTGTCTTACTCCGTGCAATCTGCGCGTTCACTTGTGAGCAGGTTAGTTACGGTTAGTTTCTTCCCGTTTCGGGCCGTTTGGAATTCCAATGAAAAAAACCCAATGTAGTGGCAGCTTAGCCTTTGCTGGCCTTGGCTTTGCAGATGTAGGCCGTGGTGACGAAGACGATCGCCACTGCCAGTCAAGATTTGCTCCACTTCTTCATCGTCCTGATGTCCGTTTACACTTGCATGGCCGTTTTTGGGTACCTCCTATTTGGACAGGATGTCGAGGACTTCTCGACGTGGGATCGATTCCAGGCTGCAAGAAACAACACAGAGCGGCAAATGATACGATATACCGTGTGCAGTTGGCTGTCGTTGCATGTCGTCGCTTTTCAGCTCTGGCAACAGCTGCGCGTCTGCAATTGACATGAAGAGCCTCCCAGCATCCTTGCATGAGGTGCGTGCATCACCTGCTTTCGCACTTTGCTGGGTGAATGGGACTGGGCTTCTCGACGGAAGACAGAGTCTGGGATAATCCGCAGATGCTGCAAGCATTGCTGTTGTTTCATCAACAGGAGCAGCTGGAAAGCGTTGGGCGAGTTTTAGCAGCAATTTGGCTTTGGTGCTTCGTTCCTCGACTGGAAGAATCGGAGATCCTTTGTTGTCTGCTAAACCGTCTGGAGGATGCAACGGCAGAGAGAAAGGGAGAGAGAGAATTGCACTTTTCCAATACGAGAGGGTTAAGTGTGCAGAAGGAAAGAAAGAAAGTTGTCCACATTCAATCTCAAGCTCTTCGACTCATCGAGGTGGTGCTGGTGGTGCTGGTGCTGCTGAACATGGTGTTGGCCATCTTGATGGATGCCTATGGAGTGGCTTCACATGGCTTAACACATGTGGTTCGGTCTCTGCATGTCTCGAAATCTCACAATACCTTTGAGGTGGTTAAATCGAACGCATCGGTGATGATGACCGTTCCGCAGCAGATGTCAGAAATGCTACGCCGCCGACGTCTGAATCGGGAGAAGAAGACGGATGCTAAGCAGCACTGCTTATGTCTCGTGTTACTTGTAGTAGGAGGATCATGGACAGCACGGGCCGCTGAGGTGCGCTTGAAAGACATCTGGTTTGCCTACCTGGAACAGTTCCAGTCGATGCGAGAGATGTTCGAAAGCGAGGCAAGGCAATTGGAAGCTGCGTTTTGTACTCCGGGAGTCAAGCCCTAGATGCTTGGGAATCCTCAATGCCACAGACGCCCGAGCTTCTTTTTTTCTCCTGCACAAGGCACGTGCCACGTCAGGGGGGGTTTGAGTGCAGCTGGAGTGGCTTGCGTAGGCATCTCAACAAACAGCCCTGCAAACGGCGGGACGCATCATCACAAGTTCAGGGTGCCGTGGAAAAACCTCTTGTGGTATGGGGTATGGCCCCTTTGTGTTTGCATTTCTGTTTAGGCTGCCGAGGGCATACTCTCAGTGCTCTGGCTTTCGGCAACAGGTTGTGCTGAGGCTTTGAAGGTTACGTCGGTGGTGCTCTTTCCCGGCATTCAGTGAAGATGATGAGGTCTTGGTGGCTCCTGAGGACTTGGTGAAGGTTGTTCCAGGTCTTCCGCTCTCGCAAGCCAAGCGAGCCTCGGCTTTCCCTCTTGCTAAACTGTTTCGCGGTCGGCGATGCGCTTGAATGTGTCATTCTAAATTTTCAAGGCACGCTGATCAGTGCCCAGCGGGTCGTGCGGGAGACGTCAAGCGTGCACTATGGGATGGAGAACATGCGCATGCAGCTCAAGATGTGCAATGGGAGGGTCGCCGGCTTCAACTAGAAAGGATCGTGGTTGTCCCTTCTGGCTATCAACGGCTGTTGGGCATCGTGCCAGTTTAGGACTCATCCCCGGCTGTTCAGTGTGCACGTGGTTGTTTGTTGGTGCGTCTGCAGGTTAAAATTCTTCAAGAAGAGGAACCTTGACTGCAAGAGGGCCTTCGCTCGTGAGAACCATCCCGGCACTGGAGCCTCAGAATTCAGAGAGCTCCTCAGGTGTCCGCCATTCGCATGGCCGTGGACGAAGCCCGGGATGCTGCTGGAACGCTTCCAAGCCCCACACACTTAGGTGGGACCCATGCGTGGACCCATTGGAGTCCCATTGGGACGAATCGGGGGGGGGGGGGGGGGGCCACCGGGGGCCACCATGAGGGCCTGACTCATCGGCGTCAGGTCTCAAAGAAAGCACCCTGAGGATTGTGGACGTGTTAAAAGACACAGTGCCTTGATCCAGCATTGCACGTGTTTTGTGTGAGCCTTCTTGGACGCAGCAGAGTGCCGCAGGTCGGAGGCTTGCGATCCCAGGTTCATGGAGTGTCTCGACCGAAGCTTGACAGTCTCTGCCGGAAGCGGCAAGAAAATGTAAGAGATTGTGCTAAAAAGCAGGTTCTGGAGGAGGAGTGCCACATCTATGAGTTGGGCCATAGGCAGCTTCAAGACGACCAACGCTGCTGGGGCAAAATCTGCACAGAAATGAAAGGGGTTTCTTTGTGGTGTAGACAGTTTAGAGTTCCAAGCTACAGTGATCCGCAGCAGGCACATCGCATGTCTGCGTGCTGTCAAGTGTCCAGCTCCCTGTCTCGTTGGGCTTGAGGCACCATGCGAGTGAAGCTCGGCTGCATAATGGCAGTGGGGAGTCATCCGAAGTTGCTTTCCGACAACAGGTGCGCGCAGGACGCCAAGGCAGGGCTGCACACCCTGTTTGCTCCACTTGCGATGCGTGGCTCGCCAATTTGAAAAGCGCACAGGCGAAGCTGAGAGTCATGCTGCAGAGGTTGGAGGCTCGCTGTTCGGTCTGAGACGAGATCGCCCCAAAAACTGAAAAAAGCAACGGTGCATGTCTGTCCTTTTAAGCGCACATTCCTTTGTTGGTGCGAGAGAAAGAGTGTGTTTTTGCATCCTTTTCTCTTGCTGTTACTGGGCGCAAAGAGGACCTAAGCACCATCCTGGAGGAGTATGCGACGAAGGCGCGGTCCAACGTTGAGTCATGAGAAATGTGAGCGTGTGTGTCATCATGCGTGTCTGTGTGCTCCTCTTCATACGGTCGTCTTCAGCATTCTCACCAACAATCCCTCGGCGGTCTGGCACATGGTGCTCTGACACCACTGCTCTTTAGGAGCAAGTCCACTCTGTCTTCGGCTCCGCGCTGACGCGGGATCCAGAGCCAAGCCTGGCTGCCGGGCTGCAGCGCAACCTGGCGGGCACTTGGGCATCTTGGGCAACACAGGCTGCCTGCAAGTCTTTCTTGTGGAGTGGAATGGCTTTGTAGATCTCTGAATAGATCTCGCTTCGGGCTTCTTGGTGCGGAAGAGTTTTTCGATGGCCGTGTCAGCTCTCCAGGCAGTCTGGCGATGTGCTCCGAGCCCACACGAGGGCAGATCATAATGAACGACTCCGTTTTATGACCTAGGTCTATGTTGTGTAGCCCGCAACATGTAAACGTACAACTGCCGGGACCACAAGACGTGGCCGGTGCGCTTCGATGGCGGTTGAATGGCATCCTGGATTATGTGAAGCTGGCCAGCTTGAGCAGCCATCCAACAATGCCCTCGAAGCCGTCAGTTTCAGAGGTGTCCGGGAAGCCCAAAGTGGTTGCACTGGCCTTTTGGTCTGTGCTTTTGCAGTACCTTGCCGTCAAAAGGTCCGTCGTGGGGAGTGCCAATCATCAGCAACTCGGGGCCGGGATGCGTGGCGAGGGCTTGAGGGGCTGTGCGGTGGCTGGCCCAAGAGAGGTTCTTTTTGCTTTTGTATTTTCAGCTGCTTTAGAAGTTGCTTCAGCTGGCCGCCCGTGACAGAGACAGGGCCTTTGCCTGCAAGTTTCCCTAAGATCAATGTGAGGCTGTTTGACATGCTTGGGCACGAAGGTCCCAGCTGGTTTTCTTGAGGCGGTGTTATTTTTCTGGCGTTGCTGTGCTTTGCCGTTTGCGGGCTTGCCGCAAGTGAACTGCGTGCCGATTTGCCGTCGCCCCATTTTTGAACAAAACGGACAACCCTGCTGGAGAAGGGTCACATGACGAAGGATCCTGTACTCAAACTTCCACACACCAAAGCCTTGAACCCAAACCTCGTCTCGGGCTGGGCTCATGATCAATTCTGGCTCAGCAAGCCAGGAGGGCCCCTTTCATGAGACACTTTTTGCGACAGTCTTTCAAGGTCGCCCGGAATTGTGCATCCGGCTTGCGCTTTTTGAACCATTTTGCAGTGAGCCTGCTGTATGTCTGAACCCTCGCTATCAAGCCTGGATAGCTGCATCTCGATGTCTTTCAAGGCTAAGAGATCACGAGAGTCGATGGTCACCGAAGCAAGTGTAGCAACATGTTAATGGCCGGACTCTATTGCCAAAACATGAGTTCAAACTTCATTTCATGGGGAGGCTTTTCGAGCTTTATTATTTCGCGCGCCGGTGAAGCGGCCATGGAGCTACCATGATGGCCGCTGATAAGCTGCTGAAGATAGAGTTGCAGCGCCAACTTCATTCTTTGCAAGAAGAGGTGGAGGTATTGAGAGAATGTCTTTGTGCAAGCGGTGTCCTGAACCAAGACCGGTACATGGCACGCTTGCACCGTGAGCGTTTCGAACGTGTGTGCCGAGCACACCCCCTACAGTTAGATGGCACAGCAACGCTTTCGTGTGCTTTCTCTTTGCACGAGCTGACCGTGGGTGTTGTCAGCCTGGCCGGTGTCGCAGCTGTGCGAGCGCTGCGTGCAGCGTCTCACGCAGTTGGCAAAGCCGCATGCCGCGCAAAGCCCGTGGCAGACTTGGTGGCCGCCAGCAGAGCCTCGATTGAAGTTGGCAGAACATGTAGATTCTTTCAGCAGAACAGCAGCCCGTATTTTGCATAATGGCAGAATGCACGGAGTCTGTGCCAGGTCAGGGGCAAATCTTTGTCTGCGGCGGCTACGATGGGACAAGGTTTGCTGTTGAAGTCTTTGTCGAGACGAAACAACGACGAGATACTTGTAATTCCACAGCGCGATAAAGCTTAGACACCTGTCTAGCATGTAGCATTCTGTAGCTCTGTTGTCGCTCTCTGTGGCCTGGAAGGTTGTTGGAAGACATTCATCGCTTTGACCCGGTCTCCCACACATGGGGTTCCGTCGGGCCCTCGTCCAGAGCAAAGTCAAAGGTAAGCTTCCTACGGGCAGCCAGCTCAAAACCTGATTCGATGGCACTGAATCTTAGACGCGGCGCCAGAGCGCAAAGGTACTGCGAGGTGGTACTTCCTCTTCTGTCATAGCCTACGTTTATCTACCCAGGTGCCTCCCATGTCCTTGCCGCGGGAGGCCAGTTCGTATCGCCAAGGGCTTGGGCTTACGTGCGCGCGGCTGGGGCATAAACGTGTCAGCAATTCACCCGCTGGTTGAGACATGTGCCTGGGCGCCCTACGCACTATCTAAGTAGCAACAAGTGTCACGCTACAATGCTCGGTTGAAGGCAGCTGTAGCCGCAGTGATTGCCGGACAGATCGTCGTCTGTGGAGGTGGGTGGCCTGCTTTCTTTTCCACTCCAGGGTTAGGAATGGGATTTGCAGGCCGCGGGTGCAGCACTCAGGATACGCTGCATGAAGTTTCGGGGTTTGAAGCCTTCCTGTCAAGTGGCGCGGCCTCAGTGTGGGTTCAACAAAGGTTGTCCAGGCGTACGTTCTTTGGTGCAGGAAAGATTAGAGTACGAAAGAAGTTGGATTTCGAAGCGAAAGGCTTCGATGGGCAGAGGCAGCTCGATCAAGCAGAGCGTTTCGATCCCCGCGCAGGCTCCGACAGTTGTAGCTGGGCAGATCGAAGGTCAAAGCATGCTTAGTTGCTTTGTTTGTTTGTTTGTTCGTTTGTTCGTTGGTTTGTTACATTCCGACACATGTCTGCTGTCGGAGCAAATCGGTTCTGTTGTTGGTGGTGACGCTGTTGTCGTTGTTGTTGGTGTCCCATACTAAGAGGAGGGTTTTGATTGCAAGCATCAATTGTGACGTTTCGACTGATGCATGTGGCAGCTGCAGCTGTTCAAGTACTTCATGCGAACGCGAGGAACCTGGGAAACCTTGCCCTCCATGATTTCCAGGCAAGACTGGCACAACGTCCCCAACAGTCTTGAAAGCTTCAGTACACACAGTGGCACGGGTCTATGGCAGTTGACAGGCGGGCTGGTGCGGCGAGCGCCGTTGTGAGAGGCCCCCTTGGCTTCTTGCGCACCTGAGATAGAACGGGCCACGGCTCCTCAGCGCGTTCCTCGAAACTGTCATCGGTAGTTGTATAAATTGACCTTGCTCCCTTCATGATGTTCCAGAAACCCCGCTGGTGGTGTGCGTTGACACACGTGTGGTTTACAATAACAAACCCCCCTTTGGCTCTGGAAATGCTGATTCCAAAGAGCACTTTCTCCATGACTCGTTTACTCAGCAAGCTCTTTCCACAGCCCCGAATGCTCGGAATGCACTGAAACCTTTTCAGTTTGATGAGTCTCTTGATTTCGGCGCACGGTATTCAGTGAGGTAGCTGGCGCTGCCACTGCTTTGTCCGCAGACGAAAGGTTTATTTTCCAGGTTCAGGGTTGTGAGACGTGTTTATGCCCTGCGGCAGGGAACCTTGTCGTGTGTGGCGGCTTCAATGGCCCCGCCCTCAAGCAGGGAAGATCCGGCGATGTAGGGCCAGGAATGCAGTTGTCCGACAAGCCCACGTCCTTGGCTGTTGAGAGTGTGCGCCGAGTGCAGTTCACACGAAGAGGCTGCGCATAGAACCCAAATCCAGAGTTCGTCCCTGGAAGCTTGAATCTGGCGGACATTCAGGCGAACACTGCCTCTCCTCCGTGGAAAAGTTGAACTTTGTAGATAACTGCTGGGCATGGGCCTGAGCTTTCACGACATGGGGGCCTTCACGAGCTTTGGCAGGTGTACTGCTGTCTTGGTGAGGGATGGTGGGGAGTACCATGGCTCATTTTCGTGAGACGAAAACTTTCAGCCCGAAACCCTAAACGATTGCACTTGCGAGCCGAAGCACATGCTTGAACTGCTAGGTAGTTACCCTGTGTTACAGGGATTGCTCAAAATCTTACAGTTCCTGCTTCCCAGCTGATCTGCACAAGTCTGGGTTCAATCAAAGGCCAAAAACCATGGTCCGCACACAATCCAAGATCCCCTGCTTTTATAGGAGTCGGCAAAAAGAGTGGTATTACCACATGTTGTTCCGAGAAGTTTCTTTGCCCTGTATGACTGTCACCCTTCGACCCCAAAGCCATGAACCCATCCTGGACCAGCCCAGCCAGTCTTGCAGAAGTTCCGGCAGGACCCTCTTCCACCGATGGCCGTGCGTCGTGAGGTGGAGACTCGATCGGGCTTGGACGATTAAGTTGGATTCCAGAGAGTGGGGCATGTGATGGAAACCGTGGCTCCTGCTCTTCCAAACCGCCCAACCCATCGGACAGGGCGCCGCGGGCACCGTCCTTCGAGACCAGGTCCGGGGCTCTTTGCCGAGGGGCGCTTTAAGCTTTGGAGGTGTGGTTCTTTGGGTGGGATCTTGTAGGATTTCCTCCACATCACGTGCCATGCTTTGAAGTTTGAAGCATCAGCATCCGGTTTCAAGCTTTGATTGTGCACTTCTGCGGACGTCGCTGGGCCCCAAAGACTTTCGCGCGTGACGAGTTGGCCGGTGCAGGCTTATTGCTCTGTTTGCTCTCACTGCTTGCCGTCCCTGTGCAAATCGCATCTTGCATGGCTTTCTTGATGGTGCACGCATGCCATGGCAAAAGATGTACGACCATTTTGTAGAATCCTTAAGCTTCAATGTGATCTTCATGCAGCATTCTCAGCAGATCCTGGAAGCCTTGCAGCGCCTGAGAGCGAGCCCCCCCGAAACTGTTCAGGTCTACATCTGCGGAGGGAACGATGGCACGGCCCTCGGGGAAGTGGGACAGTGAAGCAGCACGAGCAACATCCTGTGCACGGGTGGGATTTGCCAATCCAGGCGCGAACACTCTTTGCGAGGTGGAGAGATTGGACCTGGAGGCATGATTATCGCGCATCCTTGGTGCAGCTTTCGGTTTGTGAACTGAACCACAAGTCTTAGACGGTGGAGCGACGGAAGCCCGCCTTGAGCCAGGCTATGCCCTGCAAGAGGGTTTTCATTCGGCGGCTTTCATGTCTAACCATCGGCAATTTTACGGGCCAGTTGCAGGCATCGACTTGGGAAGCACTACCCTCCATGCTGACGAGGCCAGTTGGCAAGTGGTTTTTGTCTCTGCAAAACTTGCAGCGAAGTGAGATATTTTGGGTGTACCGCCTTGTTGCCGTTAGGGTTTCTCAGAGCCGGGCGGTACTCAAAAGCTGCAAAAGGCGTGACGGCGCAGCTGCTGCGGCCTTGCACGGCAGGTGCGACTTGATAAGTTCTGCCCAAAGGCTGCTGAACTGTTGACTTGCCGACTATACAATACTATACAGTAGAAAACCTGGATGCCTCAACCCTGGTACTGCGAACCAAATAACAATTTTCATTTTACAGAAGCCCAGAATATGACGTGGCGAGACCTGTTGCCTGCTTAGTCGTTCAATAGGTGTCGCTGTGTTGGGATTGTCCAGTGTAACGATGCTGGTGTGAGAACAAAGAAGGTAGCGTAGGGCCATGCCCAGCCACCTCAGCTTCTGTTTTGCATCGTCGAGTTTCGATATTCCTGTCCTTTCTTGGTCCGTGGGACTCTTGACCTTCCATGTTCGCCGCCGTTGTGGATCCCAATCGGACTACACATGGACGGACCAGGGTATCCCTCTTGCCCGCTTGCTAGGGGACAGTAATGCAGTTTAATTCGGACGACGCGCCCTCATCAAGCTTGGTCTCGCCGGCGCAATGATACGAATCCACCCGCTCGCAAGCTTACTTGTAATTGGTTTTTTTCCTCACTGAACTTATTAGGACGTTTTGGGGCCGTTACAAAAAGTTTGGCAACAGATCCAAGACCCACGTGATTGAGGTCAATGCCCCATGAAACCTTAAGACGCCATCATTTTAACCCCGCATCTAGCCTTCCAATCTGGGCTTAGACCACAGCTTCTATTATGGAGTCCGTTCGCTAGTTCCAGCTATGGGGGCAAAAGTCATGAAACGACCACGAAGCTGACGTAGGTTGCGGGTTCTGTGGTGTGATGTGAAGTTAAGGTCTGAGGGAGTCAGGGGCTGGAGAGGTGACAAGGAGAGAACGGTTAACCTGGCCCTTAATGATGCGGTCTCTAAGCCAAATAGAACCTGTCCTGGAGTCCGTAATAGTATATGAGAGTTAGGGTCTAGGCCAAGCCTTCGTCTTGCCGGTTTTTCGTGGCACAGTTGTTACGACTCTTGTGCGAGAGCTCTGCAGATTTTGTTGGGGGGGTTCTTGCGTGTTGAGGTGCAAGGAACCATAAGGAACCCTTCGAACCCCCGAAGTTGTGGAGGCTTTGGGTGTGTGGCGGCTTTGATGGTCAGCAGTCCCTGAGCCTCAGGCAAGTATTGTTGTGTGCACGGCATGAGTTTTGGGTGACTCAGGCTGAGGGCGTATGCTGCCAGTGTTAGAGTCATGTTGGGCAGCCTCCACGTTTCTGCTGTAAAGAAGAACTCGCTCTTGGTGCGCGGGTGTCGACATGATTTCTTCGAAACATGTCAGTGTGCCCTGCCTACGCGACATTTTCCCCGTTGCAGTTCGACTGAGTACTTCGATCCACACCGCCGTTCGTGGAGGACATTCGTTCAGTCAGGGAGTCTGCTGTCAAGCTGATGGTTCGCCTCATCATTCATGTAGTACGATGTGCTGTGTGTGGTTGACGGTTTAGGCTTGAGGGAGTTGCAGTCATTACGTGCAGGTGAAGAAGTACATCCGGGTCTCACAGCGCATCGCTCCGCTCTGGCTCCGCTTGGGTCAAGGGTCTCATGTAGGCTTCCGTAGAAGGGCTCGGCTTGGAGCGATCGGCACCCCCTTTCAATGCGACGGGAAGTATGTTCAAAGGTGAAGGTGGCTTGTCTGAGGGCGAGTGAGAGAAAAGGCGCCGGACTAACTGAAACCCTTAGCGCGCTAAGCTCTGCATTCTGAATGTGGCCATGGCTGGTCGGCCCAGCTGGCTGAGCCCGCTGGCCATTCGTTTCACCCACGGCGAGATCTCCTTCGCTGCCAGGTTGCACTTGGGCGGTGAAGCAGATTGTGTAAGGTTCAAAAGGGGACTGTCCGAGTACAAGACGAGTTTGGGTCTTGAAGTGCACCAGTCAGGAAAGGGCACATGGGCCTGTCGGACTTGCGTGAAATAAAGAGGGGTTGGACCTTACGATTGGAAAGGACTTCCAGAATGGAGCACGACTGGACGAAACCATCCATGGCTTCCGAAATGGCTCGATGCTGGGTTTGCAGCGATGCAGCATAGGTCATAGGCTGGGGTAAGCTTCGGTAGTTTGGTTTGGTTTTGTCGAGCCGGAGGGAATGATTGCCAGTAGTCCTACCTCTACCCACCGCCTCTTTGCCAGTGGATAAAGGCGTTGTCATTCCACGTGCTTGTATTCTAGGGTCTTGCTTAATGTGAAGTGTCAGTTTGTCGCCGCAGCGCTGTCATGCTTGACGTCCAGTTTTTCCAAGTGCAAGGACTAAAATCTAGAAAACAAGCCCCTTGAGTCGGAAGTGCTCCGCTGCCCGAAGTTGGGGCGAATCGGTTCTCAGCCCAAGCCCTGTAATTGCCTCTGGTTGGTGGGCTCTTGAGCCTGCACTTGGCGCTGCTCTCCACAAATCTCAATAGCTTGCCATGAAGCCTAGGATTTCTGCTGCCCATTTCGAGCAAGCCCCCCTCGAGTTGGTCTCACACGAGGGATCGCTGTGGTCTTTGAGCAACAGGTGCGGTTTGAGGTTTTTTCTTTAAAAGGTTTTGGGCCAGGGATGACGCGGGGTGTTGAACGATGCTAGAAGTTCTATCAGTGCTGGTCCTTCTGCAGACCTTCGAAGCCGTCTTGGTGCGAGAGCTGATTAATTAGGAGCAGTCAGTCAGCAAAGGAAAGCGAGTATTTGTTTTGAGGCGCCTCTATGTATTCCGCGTGGCTCACGCACTGGGTGCGTGTTCTGCCTGCCCCTGCCACATTCGCCTGGGGCCTACCCAGGGCTATCGAAGAATTGATGGCCTGTTTTCGTTCATTCCCGGGCTGGAATGCTTTAAAGTGGTTGGCACAAATACAGAGTTGGGGAAGGCAGACCTGTAGGCAGGATGCGGGGTGCAGCAAACGGATCTGTGGCGTTGTATTGCTTGCGTCCCGGCTACGCAAGCCGGGACAAGGGAAATACAGGCTAGCGGAACCCGCAGTCCGAATCAATCCATGGCCGGCTTGAGGCCCGAATAGCGGTGCTGCTGCCGCGAAGTTTGCCGCAGCTCAGCAGTGTGAATGATGAATATTCACCTCCTGCACGCGCCGCGAGTCTTAGCGAGTAGCAACTTCAGTTCATGTGTGATACCGTGATTCATCCGGTCGAATGTAACTGGGACTCGCTGGGACAATCAGTCAGCGACTCCGGTACCAGTCGGCACTTTCAGTTCAACAAGCAGTCGCGCACAATGGCCATGTTTCCATTCACACACAAAGAAAAGTTCGCGGGGGGCAGACGTGGGGCCCATGAAGAAATGGACACATGCCTCACATGACTTGTTGGTCCCAGATGCTATAAAGGATGGAGGGAAGTAGACATCTCATCCACAGCAACAGTCGAGCCCGGCCCAGGAAGCTTTGACCACAACCACTGACGGCAAGCTCGTGACCGTTCGAGGCACCACTGTTGCTTTTGGGGTGTAGTTGCTGTAACTGATTCGAGGCTGTCTCGAACAGGCACTCCAAGTAGGCCATATCCCAACTACTGCGAACTTGTCACTGCATCGCCAGTTTTGGGGGGTTCCACGCGTGCCGCTCTTTAGCCTGAGCCCCGGGTTTGTTGAGGACTACCTGTACGCAATCGAGGACGCAGGGGTTCAGGGGGACGGTACTTCAGTCTTCATGGGTGAGCCGCATATGGATGGGGTTTTCATCAAGTTCAACAACAATGGTGGCTCTGTCAACAAAGAAGACCACAGGCAGTACTGTGGCCCATCTGCATGAGGTTTCAGTTGTGGATGAGCCCTCAGACATCGAGGCTAAAATCTGTTTGGGGTGCGTGGCTAAGGCGAGATGGCGCAAGCCTTCAGCCACTTCACCTTTGATCAAGCGCACGCCGAGCTGATCGTCGTCGACATCCAAGGAGTCCCCTCCGTTGACCGCGAAGGCGGCATTGCGCTGCACTTCACCGATGCGCAGGTCCCAAGTTGATTCAAGATGCCCCCATCGTCACAACATGCTGCATGAGTCGCATGTGTGCCTGGGACATGCTGCCCAAGAAGAAAGCTTTGGACGCTTAAAGCCCCTGGCAACGTGCAGGTCCATTCTCGGCACAAGAACTTCCCCTCCTTTGGTGATGGCGATCTCGGAGAAGCGGGAATCCGGAAGTTCTTCTCGACACATCGATGCAACCGGATTTGCAAAGATTCGAAGCTCAGACGTGTCAGCGACTATGACTTCCTTCCGCCACGTGAAATCGTTCGGTTCCCGGGATGTTCTGATGATTTTTTACACGAGCTGACCATAACAACGCTCAAGAAGATGCGCAAGAAGTTCAACTTGGCAGAGCTTCTCCTATCATTAGTTTGTTGCGGCCAGAGTTGTAGGTACGGTGTCATTCGGCCTTTCATATGTTATGCGTTCTGGCGTGAAGTGCCCTGCTCAGGATATTGTCTTCCCCAATGAGGTCATCGCTCAGGAGTGCTGGCGAAACAACGTGCAGAACCTTGTTTCGCTCAAGACTGTAGCGGAAGCCCAACACAGAAGCCGAAGCATCCCGACAGGCCTCACCCCTTCCTGCCCTCTCGCCGTCCCTCACTCCAGCCACGGTTAAAATCTCGCGATGGTCCCGATGTGACTCCCGCACCCCACCTGGCCGCTGAACTATGTCATGAGGTTAGGGTGCAGGGCCGCGCTTAGTTTCTTGAGCCTTCAAATTCCCGTGCCGCAGGGCGAAGGGCCGTGTAAAGCCTTGAGCCTGAAACGCAAAACGTCTTGTTTGTGAGGCGTGAGAAACCAATGCGTAATGTACTTGCGTGTACTTTTAAACGGAGGTGCCGATTGAGTGTTGTTGTGGCTCCAATGTTTTGTTTTCAGGAGCTCGAGGTGAAGTTGTGGGGTCCCTCAAAGAATGCCGTGCAAGCAGCAGAGGCTGGGAGAGTGTTTGTGGGTGCCAGTTGATGTGGAACTTTTTACATAAGATGCGGGGCCGAGGATTCATCAGCATGTCAGTTTAGTGTCAGCATGCATGTATTTATGAGCTGGCTGAAGAACTGCCCGTGCGTACGTGCTGCTGTAATAGTTTGTGGGAATGCATGTGTTCAGGTCCGGGGGCCAAGGATGTAGGGTTATGCGAAAGGCATGTTGCCTCGGCATGCAATATACACATGTTAACCACCCAAGCTTGTATCTTGAAGCTGAATCTTCAAGTTGTCAGAGTTTGATAAAGGTACCTGCCACTCGCAGCCCGTACTCGCCGTAATCTTCATTTTCCACTGAACTGAATATTTCAGTTGGCACCACTCTGTTCTTGTGGTGCCTGACCTGCATGAGTGACATGGCGGCCTCCGTGACCTCTCATTGATTGACTGTTCGGGTAGGTTTACTCGAGGAGTTGCGCAGAATCACATGCTGACATGGTGACTGGCAGGCAATCCGCCTGGCAGTCCAGCAGCTTTCGAACCGATGATTCAGCAGCAGGCAGCCGTGGTGCGATGCTTTGGTTAAGGCTGCGGCCAGGTCTGTGCCGGCATTATGCACTGGGTCAACCATCGCCACAATTGCCAGATATTCCCATTGCAACAGTAGGAGCTGCGGGAGTGAAATAGTGTGCTGAGTGGCGATGGTTGTTGTGGTTGGCGATGTATGTTGAGGGTGGCGCTTTTGCTCTAGTGGCTGCCCGTGTGGCCTTGCCGTGTAGAATAGAAGGGTTGTTGCTGTCAATGCTGGTATTTAGATGTCAGCATGGCAAGGCAATCGGGCAACCCATATGCACATGATTACAAGTTTTGCGGGTCGTTGGGCGTTCCTTGCGGATGGCCCGGCCCGGCGCGATAAAGTTCTGTAAAGCTTCCCCGATGGATGGGATTCGTACTTGGTCCATTGGGGACCAGTTTCATGGGACACGCACGCCGAAATTGGGTAGGTGAAGACAAGTCTTGCAGGCCGAAATAGAGATTGAAGGAGCGAGGTGTGAGCAGAAGCGAGCAAGATAGTTCCCTTCCTACGTGCACACGTTGGGAAGCCTCGATAGAAGTTCAAGCCGGCACTGCTTAGGGCATCTAGATGGATTTCTAGCATCTTTCTTGCTGTCGCGATTGGCTTAAGAGGGCTTCCAAAGCCTGTCCTTCGCGTGAAACGCGCAATGAAGCTATTCTTGGCTACCTGGCTTGAAGCGATGTCACGGTCTGTAGCCCCAAGTGCCGTCAATGTAGGTCAGGGTCACTGTGCGGGGCAGCGCAGCTAGCGCAGCTGAATCGGCTAAGGTGCTGCTGCTTGCGGCATGTGCCAGCTCGTGGAAGTTCCATACTTCACCGAAACGAGATGAATCTGGCACAGTGAAATCATCAGAGCTTTCGAGTCTTTCGGCTGACATTCCATACACCGTAGTATTCACTGCTGAAGAG